GCAAGTTCTACCACCCCGAGAGGCCACACTTGGCGCAGCTGGCGGTGTCCCGGGCCGCCCGCGCGCTCCTCCGCCGCTCCGCCTCGGCGCCCGCGCCCCGCCAGGCCCGCGTTTGCGCGCGAAGCTCGTCGGCCACCGCCAGCTGCGCCAAGTGTGGCCTCTCGGGGTGGTAGAACTTGCACTTGACGCCGTAGGTGCATTTCTTGCCTGGGAGGGAAGGGGCAAGGGGGAGAGGGCGGGTGAGACCTCGGGTAGGAGAGGCTGTGTGGGGGTGGTGGTCGGCGCCCGGCCCTTCTCCTTGGAAACTCCTCGGGCCCCCTTCAGGAGTCTCACGATTGGGGCTGGACGAGGAGGGGAGGAGGGGAGAAAGTGTCCTGGGGCCGGATTAGATGGGTGAGGGTGCAGTACCCACGCCCTTGGTGTAGGGCGCTGGACCCAGTAATCTCAGTGCCAGGCCGGGAGATTGTCCGTATGGGAACTCCTTTCGACCAGGGACTGAAAGCAAACCTCTAGATCCAATGACCTTCGGCCTCCACTTCCCCAGGGAACCCTGTGGATGGGGCCACCCTTGTGGAGAGGGTGCGGAGCGGGTGCGCCCCGCACAGGATTGCACGTCCAGTCTGCCTCAGTTTCCACCGTGGGCCTCATCGCCTGTGCTGATCATTGCCCTCCCCAACAGGCTGTTCTAACAGAAGTGATCAAGCAGTTTATCGCCCAGACCTGGACACTTCTGAGAGGGCATGGGAGCAAGGTGAACCAATGTGAATGTGTGTGTGGTCACCTTAACTCAAACAAGAAATGACTTTGAATATGACTTTGAACTTCTTTGGACAGAAAAACAAGCCCTGTCGGCATTAAACAAACAAATGAACTTGCCATAGCAAGTTAGCGAAAGAGCTGGCTAGAAGTGCTCTGGGATAAAAAGCCTTAGTTCTTAATGGATAGCATTGACGAAGGCCATGAAGGTCCAGGGGTGGAGGGCTGGTGGAGGCTGGAGGGAGGGGTGGAGGGATGCAGAGAGACGTGGCAGAGTGCAAGGGGGAGGGACTGAGAAGGAGGAGCTTGGGGGTACACACGGATACAGCTTTGCCCTGTGTGGGACCCCTGCATCCGGCCCTCACAGACACTCCCATGCAACAGTCACCCAGGATGTCAGTTCATCCTTATAACAACCTTGTCAGCAAGTGCCATCCAGAGAGGTTAAACGATCTCTCCGATGTCACACAGCCAGTTAGGAGCAGAACCCAGGCAAGAACCCAGGCTGCTGACGAGCAGGCCAGCACTTCTGACTGCGCCCTGTGCCGCCCTCACACGACACCTGAACCGGGATCGCAAGGGATGGGGGTGCCACCCACCGTATGGACAGTGCTGCCAGGATGGCTCTGGGGGCTTGGGCTTCCTGCTCAGGAAGTTGCTCAGGGTGGGTCCCCGGCGGCCCAAGGGGTCATCGGGAGGCATGAACCTGTAAAACAAGCACAGGGGGGCAACTGCTAGACCCACAGAAACTCACCACCAGCACCTGCATGGGGAGCAGGCCCCAGCCAGCCGGGTAAGAGAATGGGCGCAGCAGGCACGGCTGGCCTCGGGCGGGGCTCACCATCCAGGGCTCTCCCCAGCCCCGCCCCCCCCCCCGACCCGGGGCCGTGTAGCATTTGAAAGCAGCACAGCCCTCCCTTCTCACTGAACCCATGAGCGGAGAGCACGGCTCTCGGGAGAGCAGCCTCGGGCCTCTCCCGAGAGTGTGTCCAGCCAGGGCCGCAATCACCCGGCAACGCCTTTAAAACTGCAGGCTCCTGGCTTCGCACCAGACCTGCTTCATCAGACTCTCAGGTGGTTCAGGAATCTGCGTTTTAACAACTTCCCAGGTGATTTTTATGCACTGAAATTGAAGCGTAATCCCTCTAGGGTTCCCCTGGGCCCCGGGTCCGAAAGTGACCCTGTGCTGCTTTCTCACTGTCCAGACCTCCCCGGGGCTGCAAAACAGCCCTCGTCCTGCGGGCTCCCTTACTCGGATCTCCTGTGTTGCCCCACAGCTCTGCACATATACAGGTGGGGGATAAATATTAATACGGTTTGAAATGCCAGCCAGTGAGCCGGTGAAGAAGCAGGTGTAGCCGGCACACAGAGCCTCAGTGCAGGTCCTTTTGGAACCCCGGGGAGCTCTGGGTTTGGTCTCAGCTTCCGGGGCTGCCTGACCCCGGCCCCGTTCTCTGATACCCTCCTGCCCCCCGTCTGCCCCTTCCCATCTCCCCGGAATTAAGCCTCACAAGGAAGGGAATGCATCATCCTCAGTGTGCCCACAGCTCAGAGGGGAACACAACCCTTGGGAGGAAAACGCCCTTCATTTAGGGCCATCCATTTTTTTATGTGAATACTTTCGTTCCCAGGAGGCATTTCCAGGTCATACAAGGGTTCCGCTAGAGGGGTTGTGGTTCCTAAGTGGGGGGTGGTGTCCCTCTGAGAGTCAAGGGTCATACTGAGTCCCACCATGCAGACCACATACCCTAGGCCAGCCCAGAACTGGGCAATCGCTGGTGCCAGGCAGCCTCCGTGGCTCAGATCCCAGCTACACAGCCGGCTTCTCAGAACTGGGCCCTGACCAAGAATCTGGGGAGCCGCCCACTGCGGTTATTAGAGGTTCCCAAGGGCTTTACCTCCTGCTCTCTGCCAGGCCTTGGCCGCGGTGAGCTGGGCCAAGAGGGCCCTATGGACGTGCCCAGGGCACTGGGGCAGGCGTCCCCACCCACAGGCAGGCAGGGAGGCTCCCCGGGCAGCTGGGGGAATTTCTGGCAGGCCCTTAGGAGAGGCCGGTGCGTCAAAAGGACTTGGCCTTGGCCCCAGGCTGTGGCCAGGCCAAAGGCAGCCATGATCCATCAGACTTCAGTGAGGATTTTCTGGAACTGACAGTCACCAGACTTTCCAGATTTCTCCAGGCCTGAGCTGGATAGAGGGAGCTGCTGGCCTTGAGTGTATGGAAATGGCCATGGGGGCTCCTGGGGCCGGGAAGCAGGTAGCTGGCTGCTTGCAAGCCTCTGCTCTGGGGCTTGGGAGGGGAGTAGTAGGGGCACAGTGCCCTCTAGAGGCACCATGTCCTGGCCTGGCCTGAAAGTAAGTGCTATTCTTAGGTACAGTTAGGTACTCTTTGGGGTACAGTTCTCCCTAGTCCTCAAAACCATCTCAAACATATGATTAATCCAGGTATGGTTAATTCAAGGTGAGGGACATTTCGTTCAGTGACAGGGATTTCCCCCATGACACACAGCCCGTAAATGACGGAGCCTCCACTGGAAACCTCATCTGCTGCCTCCAAAGCTCTAGCTCTTTCCAGAACACCACACTGCCTCCTGGGCTTCAAGGTCAGGAACGGGCCTGCCGCGCGCAAGTGGCCTGACCCAGCCGACCTGTCACCTCTCTCCCTTCCCCAGGACCGCAGCCATTCGCTTTACTGATTCACTCCCTCACTCACTTGCCACCTACAACTAGTTCTTGAGTGCCTGTGATGGGCCATGGCAGACAAGGCACATACAGCCCCTGTCTTCACAGAGTTGGGAGTTTCTCTTAAACCATATTTCTAAAGGCCAGTCCAAGAGCCCAGAATGAGGGTCAAGCTGTCACTGCCTGGAACAGAAAGCGAAGTGAGAGTGATATCCCAGCGTGCTGTACCTTCTGCACCCTGCCTCCCCACCCCACCCCCGCTAGTCCCAGACCCATGGCCACCTTGCCAGACCCCTAGCCTTTGCCCTCAGCGTGCCTGACGACATCCGCACTGCTCCCTCCCCACCTTAGCTCTGTCCAGGGGCCCTTGCCCAGCACCTGCTAACAGGTTTGTGCCTTGTGTCCATGACATTGCCCTCCCCCAGCCAGAGCTGGTTGGTTCAGGGTGGACCTGACCCAGGGGAACCAACTCAGTTCCAAGTTCTTCTCAACCCCCCCAAAAAAGATGACTCCCGTATGTAATTCAAAACTTAAAAAAAAGGACGTGAACATAAAACAAGTGAAGTGCAACAAAGTTCCGATTTTCCCCAGGATGGCTGTTTCAGTGCTCTTACCTGTAGTAAATGCTTTAAAAGTAAAAGCAACAAGGGGCACCTGGGTGGCTCTTGATTCCAGCTCAGGTCACGATCTCACGGTTCGTGAGTTCGAGCCTCTCATCGGGCTCTGTGCTGACAGTGTGGAGCCTGCTTAGGATTCTCTGTATCTCTCTCTCTCTCTCTCTCTCTCTCTCTCTCTCTCTCTCTGCCCTTCCCCCATGTGCACTCTCTCAAAAATAAGCAAACATTTAAAATAATAAATAAATAAATAAAAGCAACAAGTTGATGGTGCCCCAAGCTCGAGCTTGGCCCACCTGTGGGGCAATTCTTTGCCAGGTCAACCACATGTGGGCATGGGAACAGAAAGGTCATGGACAATTGGGACAAAACAGCCCTGCTGAGGAATCGTGATCGCGATGGAGAGGAGACCCAGAGAGACTGAGAGAGCCTCTACGGACCCCGGGGGAGAGAGCAGGTGACTTCCAGTGGGCTCTGTCTCCAGGACTGGGTGTCCTTTGCTTTGGTATGGTGTGCCCATGACGGCAAGCCCCGCTGGGCTTAGGCTATTTGGCCTGGCTTTCTGCCAGTCATCCCAGCCCCCCGCCATGCCAGGACCCCCTGTGCCACCACGTACCGATCGTTGACAAAGGAGAACATGAGCAGCCTCTGCTCGATGAACCACTTCCACTCGGGGTTCTCGCTCTGGAGGTCGCGGTAGTTGTCGTTGGAGACGATGACACCATCCTGCTCGTAGGCCACCTTCACAATGTAGCGGTCGTCGTAGCAGACCACCCGCTTGCCGTTCACCTTGCGGGACGGGGTATACACGAGCACCGCCTGCCTCTCCAGCTCCTCCAGCACGTGCTGCTCTGGGGGCCACAGGGCGGGCGGGAGACAGGATGTGGCGGCTTTCTGGGTGGGACCCCCACCCCCAAAACCATTCTCAGATCGCCCAGCATGTGGGGCAGCTCAGGGATCCTCTCTGAGCCAACTCCTCCTCCCCCACCCCATGGCCCAGCCTGGCACATGAGCAGGGAGGTCAAGAGAAATTTGCCAGCAGCTTGGGGTCAACAGGGCTCTTGGCTTCGGTCCCGAGAAGGATACCCTACGAGGGGGAGTCACTTTAGAAAGGAGAGCAAAGCCATAACTCTTGTCCTTTTGATGGTCACATGCCATAATACCCCTACCACAGCAGACACGAAAGGCCTTCTGGAGAAAGACATTCGTAGTTTAACTGGAATCCTGGCAAAGCCTTAGAAGTTACCAGGAGACTTGCATCCACCTGGAAGGCTCCTGCCTGAGCCCGTAGCTCACAGCCACTGTCCATCTTCCCCCATGGTACAGGAATCTGCTTGGGACACCCTTAGGACAGAGCACACCGTAACACAGCTCTGAGGGACACAAGGATGTACTAGGGAGAGTCTGGGATTCAGACCCTACGCCTGGGTTCCGGTCTCAGCTGTGGCTCCTCCCTCTCTGAACACCAGATTTTGCAACTAGTATAAAATGAGGTTAACAATTCCTCCTTCTGTCTCAGTGTCTGTGAGTAGACTGGATAAGCTGGCGTGGGCGACAGCTTAGTATGCGGACTGGTGAGGAGGTGAACGCCTGATACGCCACAAGGTCTCTTACAGGAGCTAAAACCCACATTCCCGGGAAGTCTACTCTTTGATCCTAGTTTTGCCTTTGGAGGCAGGCGAAAGAAAATCCCTTCTACTCTAACAGTTACTCAGAACTTGGAAGAACTTTAGCATATTCTTCACTAACTGTCTCTTCCCTCAAATCTACATCCTTTCCTATATGACTTTTTGAAAGTCCACAATGCACATAAGGGCACCAAGGATAACTTTTAAAGCCACCTACGCAGCACTCCCATAGAGAACTACAACGTGGCCATGCTTTTGAGGTCCCCGGCGCCCCTCCCACTTTGCACATCTGCTGCCCCTTTGACGTAGCCCAATTTTTAGACTTCATGTTTACAGTTCCCTTCCTTTCGTTTTTTATTTTTTTTAATTTAATGTTTTATTTAGTTTTGAGAGAGAAAGAGAGAGACAGAGCATGAGCAGGAGAGGGACAGAGCACAAGTTGGGGGAGGGACAGAGAGAGAGAGGGAGACACAGAATCCGAAGCAGGCTCCAGGCTCCGAGCTGTCACCACAGAGCCCGATGCGGGGCTTGAACCCACTGACTGCGAGGTTATGACCTGGGCTGAAGTCAGACACTTAACCAACTGAGCCACCCAGGCGCCCCTCCTTTCATTTTTAAAAATACGTATGTATGCATCGTCCCAAAAGGACTATTTTTCGCGCGATTAGGAACCTTAGGAACCTCTAGACTTCACACACGTGGAATCGTACTGTGCATATTCTTGCGCGCTTACTTTCTTCCTGTAACATCGTGTTGGAGAGGTTCGGCCACGTCCCTGTGTTCCCCACTGTCAGTTCTGCGCGTCAGTCTCCGGGGACAGGAGTACAAGGACTTCTCTAGGGAGTAACTCTAAGAGTGATATTGCTGAGTGGTAGGGAAAGGCACTTTCCAAGACAGTGCTGGATTGTTCTCCAAAGCAGTTCTATCAGCTGACTACCCAACACAGCATTCAAGAAGACCGTGTCAGGGCTTGGCTTTTCAGGTTTCTGAAATTTTGCCAATCTGGTGGGTGTACAGTGCCCTCTTATTGTGGTTTTCTTTTGCATTTCTTTGGGCACTAATGAGATTGAGCGTCTTTTCATACGTTTATTGGCCATTTATGTCTTCTCTTCTGTGAAAGGCCCATTCATGCTTTAGTTCATCTTTCTGTTGGCCCTTTGTCTTTGTCTTATTAATTTGGAGGAGCTCTCTATAGATTCTGGACAGTAATCCTTCATCAGGAATGTGTGATCGCCTCTCCCAGTTTAAGGCTTGTCTTTTCATTTTTTGGTTTTTGTGGTATCCACTAATGAACAGAAGCTTTTATTTTAATGCAGTCAAATTTATGAATCTTTCCCCTGAAGCTTTGCACTTGTTGTGACTTGTTTTAAAATTCCTTCCCTACCCCAAAGTGATTTCCCTACCCTTTACCCATACTATATTTTTTTTAAATTTTTTTTAACGTTTATTTATTTTTGAGACAGAGAGAGACAGAGCATGAACGGGGGAGGGGCAGAGAGAGAGGGAGACACAGAATCGGAAGCAGGCTCCAGGCTCTGAGCCATCAGCCCAGAGCCCAACGCAGGGCTCGAACTCACGGACCACAAGATCATGACCTGAGCTGAAGTCAGATGCCCAACTGACTGACCCACCCAGGCGCCCCTACTCATACTATAGTTAAATATTACACGACTGTTGAGAGCCGCCATTCTCCATGTTCAGACTGTAAAGAATAATTTAGGGTAAGCAGTTCATGGTGGAGAACTGAACACAAGTATTTATCCCTGCCTCCCTCTCATAATCCTATTGAAATGGCAGTGAAGAAGTACGAAACGGGGAGGGGATCCATAATCACATTAGACCACATGGGCCAGGGAACAGCAGCAAACCCAGGAAACCATACTGATCCCCCGGCACGTAGGGAGCCATAGCCCAGAACGTGGGTAGAAGGCTGAAGTGGATGTGAGGCCATCCTTCCTGCAAAGGCCCAGAGTGTTCAGCGGGCCTGTGGGGAGGAAGTGGGAAGTCTGCGGAAGTCAGGGTTAACTACCTGAAGGGCTCCTCCTGGGGCAGGTGCATCTACCCTTTCCCTACCCTTACTGCTATAAGGAAAGTGAGATATCACTAGGAAGGAGGAGTTCCCATGTGGCCTTTGACCTCCTGGAGTGAAGCCATCATGGGGCACTTTGCACTGTGCACCTGCCTGCCCCACGCAGGGTCTGCCCAAGTGAAATCTGCCAGTCTACACTGACGGTCAGTCAGCCCTGCCACTCGGGGAGAGATCCCCGTACTAGGAGAGAAGATGCAAGGAAATCACATAGAGGTGTATCTAACCGATCTGGCTCTTTGTTTGCAAATCAAAACTGATGACCAAGCAAGTACTAGACCTTTGAGAAGACTTAACAGCACCCCCACACACACACACCCACACACACTCACACACACTCATACACACACACACGCAAACACACCCCCAAACTCCCACACCTACACACACCTACACATACACACCCCCCACACACCCACACACCCACACACACACACACACACACACACACACACACCACAGAAATGAACAAAGGGAACTCACCCAAGAAAAATAAATAGGATTCACAGAACTTAAAGAGAACTTTTTAAAGTCTATATTACTGTAGAAATAATTAAAGATATTTCATCCTTAAGACAAGGATATATATTTTTTAATGTTTATTTATTTTTGAGAAAGAGAGAAACAGAGACAGAGCGTGAGTAAGGGAGGGGCAGAGAGAGAGGGGGACACAGAATCCGAAGCAGGCTCCAGGCTCCGAGCTGTCAGCACAGAGCCTGATGCGGGGTTCAAACTTACACACTGCAAAATCATGACCTGAGCCAAAGTTGGACGCTTAACTGACTGAGCCACCCAGGCACCCCAAGAATATCTTTTTTTTTTTTAATTTGAGAGAGAGAGAGCATGCACATGCGATTGGTGGAAGTGGCAGAGGGACAGAGAGAGAGAATCTTAAGCAGGTTCCATGCTCAGCATGGAGCCCGATGCAGGGCTCGGTCCCACAACCCTGGGATCGTGACCTGAGCCGAAATCAAGAGTCGGAGGCTCAACTGACTGAGCCACACCAGTGCCCCAACAAGAATATCATTTTATTTAAAAAATAAAGACAGAAAATCTGAAAGAGAAGAAGCAGCAATTAGAAACCGTTGGTAGAATTAAAAACAACACCACAAACTTTTGGTTAAAAGGCTGAAAGAAAAAATCAAAGATGGAGAGCCTGAGTGGCTCAGTCAGTTAAGCGTCTGACTTTGGCTCAGGTCATGATCTCTCGGTTCATGAGTTCAAGCCCCACGTCAGGCTCTGTGTTGACAACTGGATCCTGGAGCCTGCTTCAGATTCTGTGTCTCCCCCTGTCTCTGCTCCTCTCATGCTCTGTCTCTGCCTCTTGACAATAAATAAATGTTAAAAAGATTTTTTAAAAAATCAAAGAAATCTCCCCGAATCGCCAGGAGGTCAGCCCCACCATCCCTGAAGAAACAATGCCAACAGTGGCTTAGTGTCTGACTTCTAGTAATGAGAAAGCCAAACAAAAACAAACAAACAACACCCTGTTTATTTAAACCACCTGCTTTGTTATTTGTAGCTTAAAATATTCCTAGCTGATATAAGAATTAAAAATAAAGAATTCCCTGGGCCTTAGTTTTCTTTTTTTTAATTATTATTATTATTTTTTAAATCAGTTTGTTTTATGGTCAATGAGTTTAACATTTATTTATTGTTAGGAGACAGAGAAAGACAGAGCACTGGGAGAGGCAGAGAGAGGGAGAGACATAACCTGAAGCAGGCTCCAGGATCTGAGCTGTCAGCACAGAGCCTGATGTGGGGCTCAAACCCATGAACCTCAAGATCATGACCTGAGCCAAAGTCAGATGCATAACCGACCGAACCACCCAAGTACCCTTCCTTTTTTTTTTTTTTTTTTTTAATGAAGAGATTGGACAAGGTATAAAGTAAATAAATATCATTGAGCCAAATGAATGTCTCTTTCAGATCCTATATTCTGTTAGGGGCGGGATGCAGATCCAATCTCTGCAGAATGTTAAAATTTGTATGACACAATCATTTGGGGGACTTAATCATTCACACTAGAAGACAAAATAAGTAGTTTATTCATCTATTCAACAACTATTTATTGAGCACCTACTATATGCCAACTATATATTGAGCACCTCTGCTGGGTGCTAGGGCTATGGCAGTGAATATTCATAGTTAGTGTTCCCATGGAGCTTATAGTGCGGTGACAAACACAGACATTATCAAACAAATAGCTAATTGACTATAATTGCCGCAAGAACCACCAAGGAAAGGTGTAGAGTACCTCTTGAGCATATATCTGCTCCAGCATACCTCTAATAGGGGTATCAGATCTTGGTGGGTCTTTCCTCCAGGATGGAACAAAAACTTTGATGTAGGCGTGTCCTCTGTCCCTGAACCAGTCCACAGCCAGCTGGATTCCCCGGCAAGAGAAGGCTTCTTTATTTCCATGGCTACGATGGGAAAACAAAGAAATCTGTAGAGTCACGGAAAAGGTTTCTGAAGAGTGATTTCCCCTGGGAATATCCTGAATCACAGGCTCATAATCAAAGGGAATCAGGCAAATCTGCATTTGAAAAATAGTTCATTCTCGGCAAAAAATGGATCCTTTAACTGGTACCATGCGGCTTGCGATAGTATGTGTATAGAGGGTCTTGGGCTCCTGGGGAAGTGCACCCCAAGGATTAGTAGACACGATCCCCTTTTTCCCTGCAGCTGTAAGGATCAACATAAGACGGAGGAGAGTAGCCATCTGCAGAATACTCTTACCCTAAGAGAGGGCTGTGTGTGTGTTATGGGGCTTCCCGAGGAAGGAGGCCAAGGTGCTCCAGAAATTCCACTGAAGCATCAGGAAGTAGAGAGCAGTGGGAGAGAAGGCCCAAGACCACGCAGGGCCTGGTGTGCCTTACGGAAGACTCTTTTTTTTTTTTTAATTTAATTTAATTTATTTTGAGAGAGAGAGAGAGAGTGCAAGCAGGGGAGGGGCAGAGAGAAAGGCAGAGAGAGAGAGAATCCCAAGCCGGCTCCGCACTGTCAGTGTGGAACCCAGTGTGGGGCTCGAACCCACAAGCTGTGAGATCATGACCTGAGCCAAAACCAAGGGTCTGAGGCTTAACCCACTGAGCCACCCAGGTGGCCCAAACTCTTCTCCTAAAAGGAATGAGAAGCCATAGCAGGATTTGAAGATGGGGGGTATATGTGCTGTGCTATGATACGATCCAATGTATGTTTCTAAAAGATCAATCTGGCAACGCAGAGGACAGTAAATTGGAAGGGAGCAAGGTGGGGGTGAGATACCCAGTTAAGAAGCTGTCACTGTCATCAAAGCAAAACTGGATGGTGACTGGGACCGAGTGGGTGGTGGTGGATAAGGGAGAAGGGTAGGTGAACCTGAGAGATGTCTGGAAGGGAGAATCTCCAGAATGTGGTGATTGGTTGGATCCTGGGCGATAGTGAAGAAGGCATTGAGGAGGCTTCCAGATCTCTGGCTTGTGTAGCTGGTGGGCTCCTCCTTGAGACGGGGAGTCCTGGGGGAGGACAGGGTGTAGAGGGAAAGACCGCGGGTTTTGTCGTGGACACATACTGAGCTGGAGGAGCCCCTGTAGGTGGACATGCTGAGTTCCAGAAGACAGTTCTGGGTGACAAAACGTGTAGGGCATCTGTGCTTACACAGCACTGGAAGCCGGAGAATTGTCTGATTGCCGAGAGGGAGTGAGGGGCCCAGGAGACGGGTCTGGGGGAGCTCTGGAACTCAGAGCTGGTTTCGGCAGGGGTGGGGCAATCTCACAGGAGAGACGGAAAGGATCTCTCAGGCCAATAGGAAGCAAACCAGGAGTGCCACGCTGTGGAAGCCATGGGAAGGAGGCATCCGGGTGCTGCTCGAGGAACCCACGAAGCCTGAAAACATCCGTGAGGACGAGTCTGTGCAGGTCAGTGGTGTTTGGCCGGCGAAGGAGACGAGCGGATAGACGAGATCATGAGATCGCAGAATCAGTCGGACTTCGCCCCGGGTGCGATACAGCCTGGCCTCTGCTTCCAGCCCAGCCACCCGCGCGGCCTGCAGCACTTTGTCCTGGCCAGCCACCTTCCCCGCTCCCACCGCAGGACCTTTGAACCAGCTGTTTCTTCTCTCAGCCCGGTCCACGCCTCCTTCTCCTGCGGATCTCAGCTTTATCTCTACTTCCTCAGGAAAGCATCCCTGCCCTCTGGTCCCCCTCCGATTCCCCTATTACGAGTCCTCACGGCACATGCTGCTTCTGCCTGGCCCTAATCTCAGCCAAATGATTACACACACCTATAGGATGAACAGGTCTCCCCCTCTTTAACTCACAAGCTCCTTTTGCTCTCCATTGAATTCCCAGCACCCACATGGCACCTGATGATCGGTAAGGGGACAGTAAAAATGTGTTGAATGCATGAAGGGCTGAGAAGACACAGGTCCTGTGAGCCACCGGAGGGGGAACAGCCCAGGCAAGGGGGAAGAACTGGGTGGAAAGACAACGCTAAAGGCTCACTGTGTCTAGGGACCAAAAAGACAGCAGAGTGACTGGGGCAGGGAGAGGGAGCAAAGGGGAGAGTTGAGAGTTCACAGAGAGCCCAGGGCACCATGACAGCCTCTGTTGAGAAGCCTGGCCCGCAGCAGCCGGCCCACCGCCCACGTCCAGACAAGGACGACACTAAATTTCCATGCTGTGCTTTCTCTTGTGTGTGTGGCTTCTCCTGCTATTTTCTCAGAGGGGATCAGGATAGGCCCAAGAGAAGAAGGCAGGCTTTGGAAACACCAGTCAATAGTCTTGAAAGCAGGCTTTGTGGACATACACGAGAACTCTAAATTGCTCTGACTCCAGTAACGTATCGGGAACCAGGCCTTGAGTTCTACACCCGTAGTGTCTTCCAGTTTAGAAAAAATAGTCCTTGGGCCCCTGAGGCCAAGCTGTGAGGGTTATGCAAACAGTAAGGAGAAAATATCAATGTCTGTGGTGCAAAGAAAGGAAGTGGAACCAGTCCCTCTGCCCCAGAGGAAGATGAAGAAAGAAAGGAGAGGGAGGGAGAAAGAGGAGGGCGTTCACAGGGTCCTTGCCCATGCATCCCCCACCCCTGCTTCACCCACCAGCCAGAAGGGGAGGAGAAAGCATAGAAACATCAGGATGGGTGTGAAGAGGAGGCCAAAGGTCGGTCTCCCAGCACAGTGTTGGCAGGTCACAAGGCTCTTGGAGATCCTGGGTTCAGCAGGGCACAGTGTCCACAGAGCTGCTCGGCTGCCTCGGAGGAAGGGGGCAGATAGGTGAGCTGGAAGCATCACCCTGGATCCCTCGCATGCCCCCAGGCCCAGGAGACTGTCGGAGGCCTAAGGAGGGACAAAGAGGCCCCTATGAGGGGGGCAGGGCTGTAAGCCAGCATGGATCCCAAAAAGACCAATGACCCTCCTACGTTGACCATTCTGGAAGCTAAGCCAGGTCAGACCAGCTGCTCCGTAGCAGAGCCCCGTGAGGGTCCCAGACCCCCCTCTCCCAGCCAACATCAGGTCTCAAAGCCCCCAGATGCCGTTTGGGAGAGGAGCGGGGGAGAGAGAGGAAACATGAACCCCAAGTCATCCAGAAGGCAGGAGACACCAAGATATCACACACTGGTAAGTTTAGGTTTGCCGCTCGCCGCGACCTGAACAAGTAGGGAAGAGACTGTATCTGTCTGAGAAAATAAGGTCTATTTTCTGCGCACACTGGAGCAGAAATATGAACAACTGATGATACCCCACCCCACCCCCACTCCCAAACATGCCTCTGTCAGCGGTGACAAGTCTCGCCTCCGTTCTCAAGCAAACATCTCACCACCACCCTTCTTTTAAAAATGGCTTCTTGGGGAGCCTGGTTAAGCCTCTGATTCTCGATTTCGGCTCAGGTCATGATCTCACAGTTCATGGGTTTGAGCCCCGTGTTGGGCTCTACGTTGACAGCTCAAAGCCTGCTTGGGATTCTCTCTCTGCTCCCAACCCCACTTATACTGTAAACAAACAAACAAACAAACAAACTTAAAAAAAAAATGGTTTCTTGAGTGCTCTCTTTCCTGTGACCACACATCTGTTTCTGTGACTACACACCTTTGATGGGTGTGTGGGTGGAGGGAGCATGTTCGGTGATGAGGCTGAACCCGATTCCTCCGAGGAGGCAAAGGCGAGCAGGGCCACAGGTTCTGGTGACGATGGTCAGGACCACAGCCTGAAGTGGCCCTGGCTGGGGGCTTGTAGAGGGGAAGGGGTTGGCAGTTCAGCAGTTCAGGAAGAGAAAAACTGAGGAATGGTGCTACCGTGAGCTTCATGCAGCAAAATCCAGTCCCGTGGCCTCTCTGACCCCAGACTCCAAGATGGCAGCCCCTCAGCCAATAGTTTCCAAAGGGCACGAAATACGATTAAGACCAGAAGAAGCTGGAACAAACATACATCGGCCCATAGCCTTCCTTCCCTCCCTAAGCAGTGCTCTCCTCTCCAGCTTTGACTCCAGGCAAGGGAAGCCAGGGGCTGACTCCTAGAATCACTAAACCGATGTCTCTGGAATGGAGGGTTTTCATTCAGGTCTATTGTTTTGCAGGACCGGATTCCCACACGCTCCACCCCAACCTCTCTTCTGAGCCTTCTGGTCTCTTTTGAGATGTGAGGATTGTTACCGTTCGATCCTTGCCACATTTTTTTTTTTTTTTTTTTTACCAAACTTTGAGGTTGGTAAAAACCTCACAACCCCATTATGGCTGCCATATTTCTGACCACAGAGAGCCCTGGGCCATGGCAGGATTGAAGCCACGCTCAGGGACCACCTTCTCACCACGGAGGGGTCTGTCCCTAGTTGTCTGCAGAGCTCCCAGTCAGGCAAGAAAGCACTCGCAGTCGCCCTGGGTCCACACCCCTCGGCACACAGAGGTAAATGCATAAGCCTAAAGCATTTATTTATCTGTGCATCCCTCCACTTACTCAATGTCAATTTATGAACATCTTCAGTGAGGCTCTGTGCTGGGTCCTCAGAGACATACCTTGTTCCTGTTTCTTGGAGCTCATTTTTAATATTTGTAGAGTCCCGTGTCCCAGGCCTCTTTGCACTTTGCGCTTCAATCATTGCAACGAGCCCCCGAGGAAGTGACCTTCTTCTGACCACACCCTTGAGGAAACTAAAGCGAAGACAGGTGCCCACCTGGCTGGTCCAGGGGCAGATCTCAGAGCCTGATCTGTTGGGTTGCAAACTCCTCCTCCCCCATCTCTTATTCCATTTATTCCTGCCCCTCCCCGGTCTCTCCCCTGACACCCAGACAGGTTAAGTCGTCTGCTGTTAAAATGCTGGAGTTTGGGGAGGGCCCTTAGGGCTTCTTAACAGTCACTGTGAACCAGCTCATCACCGAGAGCTGAGAGCCAGGCCCTGGGAAAAGGAGACAGAAGCGGTAGGTTGTGGATAAAGGGAGGGTGGTAAGGGGAAGTGGGTTGGTGCCCGAGGCAAACTTGGCCTGCGGGACAATTACGCCTGGGGCGCCCACAGTCAGCATGGCCATTTGCAGCAAGTGGACCAAGTACATTGAGTGGACCATCACTGTATCGTTGACTATCGCCCAGGAGGTGTCTGCAGAAGTTAGCGACCCGCAGAACGGTGCCCGGGCGAGCAAGGTGGTGCTTGTGGTGGGGGGAGGAAAGGAAAAGATGCTTCCTTCAGGGCAGGAGGTGCAAAGCACACCCCTCTTTCCACTCTGTTTCTTTTTGGGGGTTACATTGCAAATACTCGGAGTTTTATCCCTTTCTTTCACCAAGAGATCTCCTCCCAGCTCAGGGCAGGGGGGAGAAAGAGAAGGTGTGCCTTCATCGAAGACAGGGAGAAACAGGTGCAGACCGAGGTAGGAGCCCAAAGCCAGCATTGGCCAGAGTCCACTCAGGGACTCAGGAGGAGGTTTGACCCCCAGCCCAGGAGTGCCTCCTCCACGAACAGCCCACTGAAGGGGGCTGATGAGACACCCCGGCCCCACTGCAGGCCTGAGCTCCTGTCACTGAAGGTTGGTTACTCCAGAATAAGTCAGATTCCGTTGAAGTTTCTGAGAGCTTAGAAATGTAAATGACGACCCAGACAAAAGGCCCTCGCATGCCAACTTGGGGAGTCGTTTAAGTAAAACCCTTGTCTGGGCAACAAGAGGATGTGAAATTATCAGGTGGTTTTCCCCCAAGCTGAAGTCCTTCCAAATCATTCTTTTCCTAAATTTGCCTACAGAACGCACCACGCAGTGGGCTCCTGAGAGTTTGTCGGGCAGGCAAATACGGGCACGTGTGCCGTGAAAGCCACCTTCTTTGTCATACCTGCCAGATGCTTTTGGCTCTTTCTTGAGCTCACACCCTCCTCTCTCATGTACACACACGGGAGCACACGCACAGGCACGCCCACACCCTTTGAAGGTGCAGGCTTGTGCTTGGAAATCACTCTGTGGGCGGCCAGCCCACCAGAGCCACCTTTCCATGCACATGTGATGCCCGGTGGGGGCGGTGGGGAGGGTGGGTTTCCAGAAGGCTGGCAGCAGCAGAAAAGGCATCCTGGGGACCAGTCCTACAGAGATCACCTGGTGAGGGGGTCCAGCACATCCTGTGTGCAGCGGGCAAGTCGGGGCCCATCCCACTTGGGAAGGGCTCTGGTCAGCACAGGCAGGCTCTGACCCCAGAATAAAATCCATGGGGTCAGGGGCTCCCACCCTGAGACACTTTGGAAGACTGGGCAGTGGGAAAACCAAAGATGCACAGTGCTAGAGGAAGTATAGGGCTTTGGAAAGAGCTCTGAAAGCAGAGCCTGGCGTTCATTGCTCTGTGACCTGGGGCAAGTTACTTACTCTCTCGGAACCTCTGCAGAAGAAGAGAAATTCCTTTCTCAGAAAAATGCATTTATTTCTTTCATGCATGCATAAAATAATCACCTCGAATCCTAGAATGTTACAGATGGAAAGCCACTTAAGATCATTGTTGTTTAGTCCAACCTCTTCATCGTATAAACAAGGGCTCAAAAACATCACGTGACTCACTCTGAGGTCACACAGCTAGGGTACAGTCCAATACCTAGGCGCTCATCGCATGTGGCCGTTTACATTTAACTTCAAATTAATTCAAAAGACACAAAATGTAAAATTCAGTTCCTTGGTCACAATAGCCACACTTCAAGTGCTCAGTAGCCCCATGTGTCAAGTGGCCATCGCTAATGGGCAGACAGGTCTAGAACTTTCCATCATCGAAGGGAGGTTTTGGTGGGCAGCTCCCAGCTAGAGGTCAGGACTCAGATCTTTGGACTCTCCCGGTGGCTCCCCAGGGCAGCACGGACATGAGCTCCAATCTGCCTTCTAAGTCCTTCCCTACCTCATGCAGCATCAGACAGCATACGAAGCAATATCTTCTTCCAAAACAGAGCGTAGCAAAGTCTGCGATACTACAAAACCTCAGAAAGGAAAATTTTCAGAAACCACGTTTCTGAGGTTAACTGAGTTTTGAGGTCAACTGATAATAACTAGACACCATGTTGGTTTCAACCACCCATTGTGTCTAAAGGGCGAGCCCCACACTTAAATCTCTCCTGCACAACTGAGATCTGGCAGAGCCCGAGGGTCATGGGTCCTCTTGACACTCTGGTCGGAGGACACAGGTGGTGTCACTGTGGGAGAAGGAGCCAGGGGATGAGGGAGAGCCTCACACCCCAACCGTCTCCCAGACTGGCCACTGAGCAAATCAGGTCCCACCCACCACGTGGTGGTTGAACAATGGGTCTTTTGTCCCTGACTCGGGATGCAGGGGCGGGGGAAGGGACGGGATGTGTGTGTGTGTGTGTGTGTGTGTGTGTGTGCGTGCACATACAGGTACACACACTGAGACTTCACACAGGCACACGTGCTCTTGTTAACTGAGATGATGTACGGGCAGCAAGTGTGTGAAAGAAAGCATCGGTGTTCTGACACATTCTTCATAATAAGCCTGAGTGATGCCTTCTACTTGTCCCCCACACAGATTGAGCACGAGGGGATTAAACTGGTTACAGTTGTGGGGGAGGGGGGACCAAATGGGTTTACCTGGGACACATCATGGTCACACGCAAGTGGAAGGTGTGGTTTGAGTTTGAATTCCAAGCAGCAACAGAGATTTTCAGCAAAATAAAATCCTCCAACACCACCCTATCAAAACAATTCCTAAAAACTCTCTGGTCCCCAAGAGAGCATGCCCACACTTCCCTGTAGCAGGTGAAGTAGTCAGTCCTTCCAGCCCAGAGCCATTTGGCTCTTTTGATCTGGGATCACAGAGCTGGTACAATCTTAGGGCTGGAAAGGTCTTCAATTTAAGCAATACCCTTTTAACTTTAGAGCCTCCTTTCTATGGATGCCCAGAAGGAGAGGTGGCTTGTCCTGATCAGACAGAGGCCAGGCCCCCCTCACAACCCTCACACACCCTCAGAACCTACCAGATCCTTTTTTTGTTGTTTTTAATTTTTTAATGTTTATTTTTGAGAGAGAGAGCATGTGAGTAGAGGAAGGGAGGAGAGAGAGGGAGACACAGAATCCAAAGCAGGCTCCAGGCTCTGAGCTGTCAGTCCAGAGCCCGATGTGGGGCTTGAACTCACGAACTGTGAGATCATGACCTGAACTCAAGTCGGACACTTAGCCGACTGAGCCACCCAGGTGCCCCAGAACCTACCAGATTCTTTTTTTTTTTTTTTAATTTTTTTTTTCAACGTTTATTTATTTTTGGGACAGAGAGAGACAGAGCATGAATGGGGGAGGGGCAGAGAGAGGGGGAGACACAGAATCGGAAACAGGCTCCAGGCTCTGAGCCATCAGCCCAGAGCCCGACGCGGGGCTCGAACTCACGGACCGCGAGATCGTGACCTGGCTGAAGTCGGACGCTTAACCGACTGCGCCACCCAGGCGCCCCGAACCTACCAGATTCTTAAACATCCTTTCCACTTCCCCCTGAAATCCCGAATTAAGCAGGATTTCATAGTCTGGCCTATCTGGTGCCTACATGGGAGCATGTGTGTGGATGTTACAGAGGCCTGAGGACCAGCCCAGGGTGACCCAGCTGGCTAAAACTTGAACAAACACCACGCAAAGCACAAAGGCACAGCGCCCAGGGCTGGGCCAGCCTGGGTAGCATCATTCCAAACCTCTGTACTACACTGCCAAGTCCAAAGTGAGTCCAAATCCCCAGGGAAAGCCACTGGCCCTGTCAGCCAAAGGACGGACACCCTCTGGACACATTTAGCACTGCAGAGAACACTCCTCTCCTCAGTCCCCACCCATGGCTCAGCTTTTGAAAGGGGAAGTGCGTCTATTTACAGCCTCGAGTGGCCAGTTTCCTATGGATCTGCCCTTTGCCTGCCTGTAACTAAGGCAAGAAGTAGAAAACTGCACTTGTGTGCACAAAGCCTCCTCCTGGCCTATCGCGGAGTGTGGATGAGACGCTAAGATTGGCTTGCAGCTGAATGGAGCCGCGCAGGAAACGTGACAAGCCAGGGCACGGCCCTCCCATCACCGACGCACACAAAGATGCCAATACACAAACACTGACAATCGTGGCTACGGCTCAGGGGCCGTGAGCACACGTCTCCAGCCTGGCTAGGGAGCCACACCACCGCCAGCCACCCCGCGGCAGCCCTCCCCTTCCACCCCACCCCCCAAAAGAGGGTTTCTAGTTCAAGCACATTTCCCCTCTGATTCTCATTACCTTTGGAGAAGTAGCAAAGCTATCTATTAGCCCGTGTCACCGAAGAGGAAACTTGAGATGCTATGGCTTTCTGAGTCACGCAGCTGGTTAGGGACAGGCTCTAGACAAGAAGCCACATCTGCCGAGGCCCGGTGCTAGGCTCCTCCCCAGTCATCTACTGCCTTTCTCAGAAAAGAGCCTCTCTCTGGGTCGATATGATAATAGCTACCACTTGTTGAACACTTACTCTGCGTCAGGCACTGTCCTAGGCATTTTGTGCAGCTCCAGTTCTCACAACTGCCTTCTAGGGAGGTTTTATACCAATTCTACAGATGGAGAAAGTGAGGCTCAGAGAGGTTAAGCGACTTACTTAAGGCCACACAGCTATGAATGGGATGGAATGGGGATTAAAGGTCCATCCATTAGCCCCCAAACCACTCTTTGGACAAAACCACTGAAAAGAGGGACAGTTCTCCCACCCCGAGGCTCCAGGACGAAGAAAACTACCTCATTGCCACGTTGCTGCCGTCGATCACTATGGGTCGCAAGGAACTGGCTGGGTCTCCACGCTCTTCTTCCAGCTCTGCCGCCAGCCCGCAGTGGGCCGAGTCCAGGGCCCCGCAGGAGCCCCTGGGAACGAGCAGGGGCACAGCACTGCTCTCGTGGGCCCCAGGGCGGCTGCCAGTCTGGATCAGCTCCTGCAGCACGTCGTTGACCAGGGCGTCCTCACCCAGCTTGCCCAGCACCCTGACCACATCATCCCGGCTGTAGCCCAGCTTCTGGAAGAACTCCATCTTGCTTGAGCGCTCCATGCCGTGCCAGCTGGGGCCCTGCTGAGGGTCCTGCCCCCAGTTTCCTTCTGGCAGAGCCACGCTGGCATGAGCTAAAGAGAAAAAGCATCCATCAGGTGTTTTCTGAGCGGCCCGGGCCTGGAGGCTGTCAGGTCACTGAGGGCAAATTATGCGTGCTCCCTCCCCGCCTTATCTGTCAGGAAATCATGTTGCCTGGTCCCCTTGGGGATTTTCAGTTGCTCAGTGTGGTCGGGGAGCCACAGATGCAATCATGCTGCTTTTACTTGTGCACTTTCTGAGGCCTTCTCCCCATCCAGGTGCCCCCGCAAGGATCCACTGGCCAGAGGAGCCAAGGGCCGCTGAGCAAACCACCCAGCACTCGAACATTTGCACACAGGCCAGAGACGTGTTTCCGAGGCTCGAGCATGGGCTGGGTTGGGCACCCCCCCCCAATTCATTCGTTGAGGCCCAACTCCCGGTACCTCAGAACGTGACTGCCTTTGTAGAAAGGGTCTTTAAAGAGTTGATTGGGTGGAAACGAGCTCCTTAGGGTGATTCCTGGCCAATATGACTAGTGTCCTTATAAGAAGAGGACATTTGGACACAGATAGGAACAGAGGAAAGACCATGTGAAGGCACAGGGAAAAGATGACCGTCTACAAGCTAGAGAGAGAGGCCTCGGAAGAAATCAACCCAGCCAACACCTTCATCTCGGGCTGCTAGGCACGGAACTATGAGGCAATAACACCAAGAATAGGTAAAATACTACATATATGATATTATATGTCATACATACCACCCCTGTGGTATTGTGTTATAGCAGGCCCCGAAAATTAATATAGCTCCTCAGCTTAAAGAGGGGAAAGGGCTGCCTGGTCAATTCCATTCCCAGGAAAGCAATGCTCTGGCCCAAATTCGGCTCTGTGCTGTGGCACAGCTTTCCCCAGCAATGAATTCAGATACTAGTGAACCTGTAAAGTAGAAGGTCCTAACCCACATTTTCCAGCGAGCATCACCGCCTGGCCTGTACCGCGGGAGTGGTGGGGAGGTGGGGGTTCAGTCTGACCCGCGCTTACAAAAAGAAGACTGAATCAACACGAACCCTCTGGACAGACCGGGTCCCTCTCTCTTTTCTACTCACAGACACCAACAGCTTTCAAAAATCATTTGAAAATACAGAAATCATCATGCAAATATATTTCGTGTGGAAAAAAATGCAACGGTGTCAAAGCATAAAGAATAACAAGAGAGGGGCGCCTGGGCGGCTCAGTCGGTTAAGTGTCCGACTCTTGGTTTCCGCTCAGGTCGTGATCTCATGGTTCATGAGTTCAAGCCTCGCATCAGGCTCTGTGCTGACAATGTGGAGCCTGCTTAGTCCTCTCTCTCTCCTTCTCTCTGCCCCTTCTCTGTTCATGCTCTCTCTCTCTCAAAATAAATAAATAAGCTTTTTTTAAAAAAGAAAAAAATTTTTAAAAAGATACACTGTCTCTCATACAAACCCCAAATCCCGCTTGCCTCTCCTGCTAAGTATTTGTTTATACCCTTCCAGTGCTTTTTCTACGTCTTGACTTGCATCTCTAACAGATACAACATATACTGTCCTAGCAGGGATGTTTTGACATAAATAGTATCATGCTACATCATTGTTCAGCAACTTGCTTTTCTTATTAAAAATACATTTGGGAAATCTTTCTTTTTTTTTTAATTTTTTTTTTTTTAATATTTACTTATTTTTGAGACAGAGAGAGACAGAGCATGAACGGGGGAGGGTCAGAGAGAGGAAAACACAGAATCTGAAACAGGCTCCAGGCTCTGAGCTGTCAGCACAGAGCCCGATGTGTGGCTCGAACTCACTGACTGTGAGATCATGACCTGAGCCGAAGTCGGACGCTCAACTGACTGAGCCACCCAGGCGCCCCTGGGAAATCTTTCTATGCCAGTTTATCTGTCCTGCTGCCCACTGTATCCCCAGCATTTAGAATAGCACCTGGCCCAGCTGAATCTCCTGCCGATTTGTTGAATGAGCGAATGATTGGCGTGTAACCATATGCCAGATGATGGAAGTTTAGTTTGCCTGCCATTTCTCTCGTGCACATCTGTCTTGTCCCCCATCTTCTTCTCAGTATGACAGGCTCTCTACCTTCCATTCCTCCTCTCCTGCTGGCATCCCCCGCAGCACCCACGTCTTCCTACTGGATCTCAGCGTGGCTTCCTGCTCCCTGCAGGGCCGCTCCCCTTAGCGCAGGAACCCCACCGAACGGACGAGGTCTGGCTCTGGCAGGAGGAGGGATTTCCCGGCTGGTCTCCTGGACAGAGAGGCCCGGCTGTCACCTCTACTCCGCCTCGGCCCCCTGACTGCTGAAACACCAAAATCGCCCCCGAGGTCACCAGGGACCTCCTCATGGGCAAATCCAACAGCAGCTCCACACACCTTGCCTTATACAAACCTCTCTGCTGCTTTCAACACTGTGGACCACACCCTTACCTCTTATTTTAAATCAAGACACTTAAGGGGTTCCTGGGTGGCTCAGTCAGTTAAGCATCTGACTTTGGCTCAGGTCATGATCTCACCGTTGGTGGTTCGGACCCCACATCGGGCTCTGTGCTGACAGCTCAGAGCCTAGAGCCTGCTTCGGATCCTGTGTCTCCCTCTCTCTCTGCTCCTCCCCTGCTGATGCTCTGTCTCCCTCTCTCTCTCTCTCTCTCAAAAATAAATAAATTTTAGGGGCTCCTGGGTGGCGCAGTCGGTTAAGCGTCCGACTTCAGCCAGGTCACGATCTCGCGGTCCGTGAGTTCGAGCCCCGCGTCAGGCTCTGGGCTGATGGCTCAGAGTCTGGAGCCTGTTTCCGATTCTGTGTCTCCCTCTCTCTCTGCCCCTCCCCCGTTCATGCTCTGTCTCTCTCTGTCCCAAAAATAAATAAACGTTGAAAAAAAAAATTTAAATAAATAAATAAATAAATTTTAAAAGAAGTAATAATAAATCAAAACATTTTGGACCACCTCCTCTTGAAACTCTTCTCCCTTAGGTTGTAAAACTTGGTCCAAGTCTTCTAAGTCTTTCCAGTTCTTTCCTTAGTCTCTGCTCATGGATTCAAAGACAGGGTCCTGCCCAGGCCATCGGCTCTCCCTCTCGTGCCCTCCACCTGCCCCTATACTGGAGAGTCTACAACCGCACTTGTGGTTCAGACCTCGCTAAGCACCAGGCACGCACAGGTATAAATCTGTGAGGTAAATGGCATGCATGCTATTTGAATAAGTTCTGTGGGAACTGAGAAAACGCTGTCATTCGTCAAACATTGGCTGAGTCTGTCTACTTCAGCAGACCGAGTCTACTTCTCAAAGTGTGGTTCAGGAAAACTCGGGGGGCGGGGGTGGCCCAAGACCCTTTCAGGCAGTCCTCAAAGTAAGAACTGTTTTCATAATGACACATAATAAGGCATAACGTGCTTTTTTCCACTCTCATCCTCGTGAGCATGTCATGAAGTATTCCAGAGACTGAGTGTCGTGGGATAACCCCTGGCGGCCCTCTGGTAAGCCAGATATTAATTAGAGACTTGCAGAAATACATCGGTGCCAGTCTTTTTACAAATTTTTTTGTTTGGGGAAAATATAGTTATTTTGCATAAAAATACATTATTTATACTAATGTAATGGTTTATTAACATTTAAAATAAACAAATGTTTGGGGCGCCTGGGTGGCGCAGTCGGTTAAGCGTCCGACTTCAGCCAGGTCACGATCTCGCGGTCCGTGAGTTCGAGCCCCGCGTCAGGCTCTGGGCTGATGGCTCGGAGCCTGGAGCCTGTTTCCGATTCTGTGTCTCCCTCTCTCTCTGCCCCTCCCCCGTTCATGCTCTGTCTCTCTCTGTCCCAAAAATAAATAAAAAACGTTGAAAAAAAATAAATAAAATAAAATAAACAAATGTTTATAATTGCCTGATTTTAGTTTCTAATAAGGTGCTTATCAGTGGATGGATATAACTCACATAAACGAAAGCTCTTCGGCATCCTCAATAGTTATGAAAAGGAGTTCTGAAACCAAAAGTTTCTTCTTAAATCCAGAGCTTTCTAGTAGGCATTTCCCAGAAGATGGTCCCGTGTAGGGAGCGAATAGTCATGTTATGCAGGGTCCCAGGACAGAGGCCCAGTGTCTTTCTCACACCATCCACCCACCTGTCCCACCCACACCTTCTTCATCCCCTACCTAACTCATGCTACAGCGTCCTACAGGCCTCCCTCAGCAAACCATTTGGCTCAGTCCCTGTTTGTAGCCAGCAGGATATTTCTAGAACAAGTGTGACCATGTCACCCCCTTCTTTAGAAATATCCTCAGGATGGGGCACCTGGGTGGCTCAGTCGTGTGGGCCTCCGACTCTTGGTTTGGGCTCAGGTCATGATCCCACAGTTTGGGGGTTCGAGACTGATGTGGGGGCTCTGTGCGGACAGTGCAGAGCCTTCTTGAGATTCTCTCTCTCCCCCTCTCCTTCTGCCCCTCCCCTGCTTATGCTCTCCCTCTAAATAAATAAATAAATAAATAAATAAATATCCTCAGACCCCGTGTTGACCTACAAGAAAGACACAAATGCCTAAGCATCCTGGTGAGCCATCACCATGCTGTGCTGGCCCCTGTGCAACTCACCACCCACCCTGGCCCACCTGGCCCACCTGACCCTTTCTCTTGAGCCATGATGAATCTCTCCTGGCTCCCCAAGCCTTCTAGAAGGTTCTCATCACCGTGCTTCTGCATGTGCTTTCGTTTCTACTTGGAATGCCCTTTTTGGTTTGGCAAACTTCAAGATTCGGCAGAAATGCCCCTCAAAGTGGTCACACCTAAGTCCACAAACAGAATGAGTGACTCAGTCATCTCATCTACCAGGCACTTTGCTCACAGCTCTGCAATGACACATTGGATCGTCACTTATCCGTATCTCAAGACACTGTGTACTATGTTCCCACCTCTTTGCCCTCAGAATCACCAGCACCTGGCACAGTGCTACTATCTCTAAGGACTTTAATAGGTTTTTCTTCAGTGGATGCCCAAAGCTGAAAATAATCTTCCCTGCTCAAATATTTTTTCTTGGGTTCCCATCTCATT